AAGCAGCTTAGCTTCTCTGTCACTGCCATTGCTTTTTCTTGTCTGGTTTGTGCCCTTCCCTTGGTGACTTTAGCAGGGGTGTGGCATTTGTCATCTATGATCCCTGTTAGTGATAGGAGATTTTCTCTCCTTCGCAGCCTGTTTAGTCTGTTTTCAGTAATTTAATGCCGCAACTTTTCTCACTCTTGCTGCTTAAAAAAGTGTCCCTGCCTCAACTGCATTTCAATTTTAAGGCTAATTTTGCTAGGATTGTCGAAACCCAGTTCTCTGCTTCATTTATATACAGTTCTTTGTCATTTATATACAATTCTGTTTCATTTATAAACAATTCTCTGTTTCATTTATCTATATTATTGGCCTTTTAGTGGCTCAGCTTCCCAGCTTGTGAGACCTAACTCCCCTGCCTTTCTCAAGAAGCCAGTGTTTCTCTGAAGGATGCTGTTTTTTGTCAAAAAGGGTGCGATATTTTACGAAGCCTGACACCTGAGACCGTCTTTCACAGCCATGTGAGAACATATTCCCTGAAACTCATGTCCCCTAGCTGCAACTCTTTCACTCGCTGTCCTGACTATCATGTCCTATTAAATTAAGGGATTCAGTGTTTCTGAGACATCTGAGCTCAGTTTATCCATGACCCTGTGAAGGCACACAGTTTTGGAGCCATGGGTTTCTAGGGAGAGGTCAAACTGCCTGGAGTAAGGTCAACTTCAGCACTGCGCTGGCTGCAAATGCAAGTGCACAGGGGCAGCTGTATTTTGTTAGATAAGAATGTGAGACAGGCGCTCCGGGCAGGAGAGGTCAGCAAACACCAGCAGTGTGTATGTCCCCAGCCATACCCACGGGTCACAGTGCAGCTGAGGACACTCTCAACCAGGGCCAGATCTCGCAGAGGTCCGCCTCACTGTAGCCACTGCTCTTTCTGTTGGGATTCAAAATGCCTTTCAGATTGTCTCCTAAAAATCACTCTTCTATTTAAGGATGGAATAAACACTTCTGGCTTATTGATTCTAAACCCAATGTAGAATCAGCTCACTTCTAGCAAGGTCTGCAGGGAGTGAAGATAGAAGAGGCAAATGTCTCTGAATGGACCCCTTCCACACGTGAGGACTACTTCACAGAGTCACCGAGGGCGTGTGGCTATTTTTCTAACATAATTTAAATTATTTGTCTCCTCTAAGCACCAATGGATTTGCCCTGACTGCCAGTGCTTTCTCTTGTTTGTTCAGGTGGATGCTTTGCTCAAAAACCAACACAAACTTTAAAAGCTTACAATAAGTTTGAGGGCAGAGTTTTCTGTAGGCCAATGAAGTTTTTTATAATTTTTCTAGGGTCAATATGAACTCATAAAGTTACAACAGTTTTGGATGAAAACAGAGTCTAACTACAATTTGAAGTCCATGATAGTTTTATTTTATTTACTTATTATTTTTTTGTGTGTGAATAGAGCAAGATTTTGTTAGTGGTGTACGATTTCCATAAGACAATTAGCATGACAAACACACACAGCCCGACAAGTGCTGGAGCTAAAGGGGACACGAGTACATGACGGGAGATTTTGGTCCTTGGAAAGACTTTCCATTGTTGTCTAGGAAAGGAGGAAGACAACAAGGTAGGATCCTCACAGCAGACACACCAAGGTCGCGAGGGGCGCAGGGCACAGCCAGAGTGCAGCAGTCCACAGGCACAGTAGCAAGGCCCCCACTGAAGGTGGCCAGACTCACCCAGGCCATCTGTTGAAGGGTGTCTAGCTGAATGCACCCCAAATGCTGGGGTTCCTTTCCTCTTGGGCCTCCTACTTGCTGTCAGCCTGGGTCTTCTACAGCTTCTTGGGGCATGCCAGGCTGCAGCATATGCTCTGGGCCTAGATTTGTCCACCTCTGCTGACACTGGCTTCTCCTGGCTGCCTTGGGGTGGCCTGGGCCACTTGGACTGAGGCATCTACATCACCTTCAGGTAACTGGAGCTCCTCTGTGGTGTGGGCCATGGGGTCCTGGACACATGGGTCTCTGAAGCATTTCTGACCCCCTCATGGCTTTGTCTTTGGTGTCAAACCCAGTGCAGCAGCTGGCCTTCGTGGAAGTCCACCTCTCCACAGCTGTGGCAGGAATGGTGGCACAGGGCCTGAAAATTATGGAGTTTCCAGGCCCCAGCCTGATCTAGGTTCAGGCCTGGTGGCTCGTGGGACTCTGGACGTGCCCAGCCTCGGCTCTGCTCTTCCAAGGCTGATGCAAAGACCTGCACAGCTGAAGCCTCCCCAATAGGCTAAGTGAGGCCAAAGCGCAGCTCCATGATACTTTTAAAATCTCACCTCACTCCTCAGTCAATAAAATTTGCTTTACTACTATTCTTTATTTTTTCTGGGCTATATAGTTTCTTCTCAGACTCCTTATACTTTAGGACACCAGATAAGAATGTTTTTGAAAGTGTTCGTAACAAACTGTTCTAAACAGTCATGTCTTGGTTACTTTTTGACAAAATACCTGACACCCAAAATTAAGAAAGGAAAGGTTCACTTAGCTCAGTTTGTGAAAGTTTCAGCCCATACTTAGCTAGCTCCAGGGCAGAGTGGCATGGGGTAGAGAGGGGCAGTTCATGGTGATGGAACACAGCAGAACAGCAAGAGCAAAAAGGGAGAAGAAAGCAAACCCCTCTCCTTTCCTTATACCACATCCAGGCTATCCACCCCAGGGTGGCTATAGCACTCTCACACACATAATCCCAGCAACACTCACACCTATAATCTTAGCATTTCATCATGAATTAATTACAAACACTAGAAACTCACCCCATTGATATAGGGGAATGAAACTCCCAACCTGAAGGGTACCTGAAACAAGTTAGTGTTTTCTAAAACCAAAGAAACAAATGGAGGTTAAAAGCAGAATATACTTATTGGGGAAAAGAAAGCTTCTGTCCCAAGGAGGGACAGAAAGGGTGCCCAAGCAGGTTACCCAGTTTTTTATAGTTTTTTTTAAATCATTTGCTGAGGCGTGTCTAAGGCAGAAAACATGAGAACTCGCTTAGGTGGGCACGAGGTGGGGCAAAACTATGGTCAACCAACGAGATTACAAGCACCATTGCTCAGGTAAAATTGATTAAATCCAGGACCAAATGAGGAAGCGAGTCACATAGAAAGTGGGCATGAATAGGGAACAAGGTGACTTCTTGTTGGGTGTTGGCTTACTTACTTTTTCAGGCTCTTTCAAGGTGATTGATACCTATTTAGAATATCAATCCCTGATGCTCACCTCTTGGGAAGAATGTGGCTGCATTTGTTTACCCTTTTATCTTGAGGACTGGTCCAAGACAAGAATGCCTGTCTCTTCCAAAGTTGCGAAGTCACCTTGTCTTCCATACTGTCTCGAGGGCTTAGCCCTGTCTGACTGTCTATAATATTTCCAACTAATTTAGCTACTTATAACCCCATGATTGCATGAGGTCTTGGTACAGGGTCTCACTATGTAGCTTGAACTCATAGTGCTCCTGCTATTTCAGCTTCCTCAGCACTGGGATTACAGGCATGCCCCACCACCTCTTAACTAGGTTGGCTTAGTATGCCTAGCAGCAGGCCAGTGTGGCATGAAGTACCAGGGATTAAGTCCCGGTCCCTGTACTTGTCTAAGCAGGCACTTAGTCTGCTGAGCTATCTTGCCAGCCCCATGGACTTTAATCTGCTTATCAAAAATCTAAGACAGGTGAGACACCAATATCTTACTCTACTAAAGTTGTCAGTATTGGAGACACTGAAAATAGGTTTTTTTTTCTTCTTTCTTTCTTTGAGACAGTCTTACTACATAGCTCATGCTGGCCTTGAACTCACAGTTGCCACACTTCAGCCTCAGCCTCCTGAGAGCTGGGAAGGTAGGTGTGTGCTCTTTGTCCTGGCTAAGACATCATAAAGTCTTAAATGGAAAATCAAAGCTTAGTGTTCTTTAGCTTATCTTGAATTGATTCTTCCTGCAGTGCAAAGAATAACTGGACTGATTGAAAACTTGAACTCGTAATTGAAACCTCACATCACATTCCAGCCGTAATGGTTTAATGAACTCAACCCTCAATGTCTTTCCTAGAAAATGAGGCTAACAACATATACCGCAGCTTCCTTACAAGGAACTATGTTGATGTTAAAAAATGCATGAATATTTGTAGAAGTGCTTCGCACTAGAAATAAAAGTTCCTAAGTGTCTTTCACTATAATCAATTATAAGAATTATCTTAGCCAGATGCGGTGGCACATGTCTGTAATCCCAGCCACTCAGGACGCTGAAACAAGAGAATGGTAAATTAGAGACCAGCTTGAGGAACTTAGCAAGATATTGTCCAAATACAAGCAGTGAAAGCGTGGGGCATGTTGCTTAGTGGACCACTCGCCTTCCATGTGTGAGGCCCTGGCTTCAGTCCCCAGTACTGGAAAAAAACAAATCTCACACATCACTAGTGAGACAGTGAGTACTAATTCTGTATAAGGTCAGACTGGAGTTATTTGTTTTTCACATCACATTTGACTTTTAAATTTTCTTTTGTTTTGTTTATGAGAATGTAAGCCTCGCAGCTAGATTTTGTTTTCCTGTAGACAGAGATTGTTTCCATAAATTAAAATGCAAGAGAATAATCCCCTGACCTCTGACGTATAAATGTAGCAGTATTGTATGTAGCTCATCTAATAATTTGGCTTTATATTTTAACATTATATCCAGCTCCAGTTAGATGTTTAAAAATTTGTTGAATTGAACGACCAAACTGACCTTGGAATTAAAGCTCCTTTCAAAATAATTATTCTTCAAGAAGCAATTGATTTTTTTAGAAGTGTGCTGAAAAATTACCTATGTTCTATTTTTTTCCTCTTTTTTTCTTTTCCTTCTAGGTTTTGGGGATAGCTACATGCAAATTAAAAAAAAATAATGTAGAAGGAGAAGGAACTCTAAGCTGACTATGGGTTTGGGAGAGAGATGACTCAACAGGAGCAAGGAAAAATAAATCGGCAGGTAGTTCCGGGCGCGATGTCTGTTTGCCACGAGGTCACGAACACGTCCTGTGTGGCAAGCCGCTGGCCGAGGGATGTCCGCGCGCCCCTGTACAGCCTCATGGCGCTCATCATTCTCACCACTCTGGCGGGGAATTTGATAGTGATCATCTCCATCTCGCACTTCAGGCAGCTTCACAGCCCCACTAACTGGCTCCTGCATTCCATGGCCATGGTGGACTTTCTGCTGGGCTTCCTGGTCATGCCTTACAGCATGGTGAGGTCTGTGGAGCACTGTTGGTATTTTGGAGAAATCTTCTGCAAAATTCACACCAGTGCGGATATTATGCTGAGCTCAGCATCCATTTTCCATTTGTCTTTCATCTCCATTGACCGCTACTACGCTGTGTGTGACCCGCTGAGGTACAAAGTCAGGATGAGTCTCTTGGTTAGCGCTGTGATGATCTTCATTAGCTGGAGCGTCCCCGCCGTTTTTGCATTTGGAATGATCTTCCTGGAGCTAAACTTCAAAGGAGCTGAAGAAATGTATCTGGAACACATTCACTGCAGAAGTGGCTGCTCCATCTTCTTCAGCAAAATAACGGGGGTGCTGGTCTTTATGATTTCTTTCTATATACCTGGATCTATTATGTTGTGTGTCTACTGTAGAATATACTTCGTAGCTAAAGAGCAGGCAAGATCAATTAAAGGCACAAATCCGAACCTTCAAACTGGATTGGAAGTGAAAGCCGGAGTGTTACAAAGCAAAGAAAGGAAAGCCATGACAACATTAGGGATCGTGTTGGGAGTTTTCTTAATATGCTGGTGTCCGTTCTTTGTCAGCATGGTCGCGGATCCTTTCCTTAACTATACTATTCCACTGGCTTTGAATGAAGCACTGATTTGGTTTGGCTACTTGAACTCGACTTTTAATCCAATGGTTTATGCGTTTTTCTATCCCTGGTTCAGAAAAGCATTGAAGATCATTTTACTTGGTAAAATTTTCCAGAAAGATTCATCCAGATGTAAAATATTTTTAGACTCGAGTCCATAAAGTTTTTATATTATACTGGCTTGAAAAACAATTGGTGACCATATTTATGAACACAGTGTAACCAACCACGTATACCAGCCACATGGGTCTTACATCAGCAATTTGATTCAAAGTACCCAGGGGGAATTAAATTGTAATGCTTTTTTCTTGTCTCCTATTTGTGATAAGGTAGGTGCAATGTTTGCAGTTCTTTGTGTACACACTGAAGCTCCACAGGTGCATCATTTCAATGTGATGGAACATTTTCTGTCTTTGGATGGAGTGTTACAAGCTAACAGTGGTGCAGGTGCAGCTGTTCCATGAGGCTGTACGTGTGTTGATGTAAACTAGAATGATTTTGTTACATATGCATATGTGATTGTCATGTTTGTGTAGTTGTGCCTCTGTATCTATCGGTTCTGTTCCTGTGGGTTGGACAATCGCAGATAAAAATATTGTAAATAAAAATTTGCATCTCTGCAGAGCCTATATAGTGAAGACCTTTTTGCTTGTCGCCATTGTCTGAAGACTCCAGCATAACTAGGCAGCGTCTACATCACATGGGCATGATATGTCATCTAGAGGTGGCTTAAAGTACATGAGAGGATTAACACAGGTTACATGTGAATACTTTGCATAGGATGCAAGAGATGTGGATCGATGGATTTGGTTATCTCCTGGGGAGTCTGGGACCCACCCCCCCAAAGATGCTGAAGGACAACTGTAGGTTTATCTTTTCATAAATTCAATTAAAAGTACATGTTACCATTACTAATTGTGTATACATTTTTACTTACATACTTATTAATGTATACTCCAATCGTTAAGTATCTTGCGCTTTATCTCTACAGAATAGGTTTTATTATGGTTCTCATGCTTGTGAGTAATTTTGAGAATAAAAAAACTACAAAAATAAGGAATCCTGTAAAAGAAAATATAAATAAAATGACATAATTCACTTCTTGGAAAGAATTAGATTATTTAAAAATTCTTTAATGATTCCTGTCTTTGGTGGCCATGCTATTACGTTGCATGGATAAACAAAATTCTGCCCTACCACTCTCTGTCGTTTATGGTTGTGGAGTCTTGGGTAAGTCATGACTTCCACTTAGCTCTACACTGTCGCTAGAGTTTGCATATGTAATGTACAAAGATACCTGAAGAATGACTCGTGGTTTTATTTTTTTTTCCATAATTTTATTGAGAAACAAATAGCAATGAGACAGTTTCAAACCAAATTGGTAGGACAGTTTCAATAATTAACACATTG